AAGCAAATTTTGCCTCCAAACAGCTGAACTTTGACACAAGTATGTGAGCACCTCCAAACAAGCAGTACACAATGGGCAACAAAATACAAAATACAGCACTCGTGTGAATCAGTGCACCATTGCTTGTCATTGTAGCCTATGACTGTATGTAGCTACAGTGGTGTTTGTAGTCAAATTTACCCTCTAGAAAAAACGCACTCAGAAGCAGATATAGTTTGATGTAAATTTTATTGATTATTTTTTTCAGACTGTGCCTGACAAATGAAATACAGTTTTTACTGATTGCTTCGACCTGTTTAAAGAAAATCATCACCATCTCATAAAAAATCAATAAAAACTGTATTCCAACAGAGAATACATGGAAATAAAAATAAAATCCTCTACTGTGTGAGACATTGGGTAAACAAAAAACAGTCTTTGACAGTAAAGAACAAAAATCTACAGTAGGCCTTTAGATTAGACCTTTATTGTCATTGTACAGAGCACAATGAAATTACAGTTCAGAACAAGAAGACAGAACATAACAAACGTAGGAGAACAGGTGCTCTGGGTCATGCTCCCTCTGACCCTGCACAGAGCAAGGATCATCTTCATGAAGACATCATGAGGAGGTGCAACCCTCCTAAAAAAACTAAAAACCACACAAGGACAGAGGAGGAAAAAAAACAGAACATTACTATAAGAGTATTAGAGAACAACACAGGCCTGCAGACTGATTGTAAATTGAAAAATTCTGTGAAGAAGTGTTTAACAGGTGCTTTCAGTGTTTCATACTGAACGCTAAAAGGGAGTTTGGACTTCTTTAATGACATCTGTGTTAACTGTTCTGCAAAACGGTGGAAAACTGTGTCAATCCAATGAGAATGGGTTCACACATTTACAAGAGGTGTCTTCTGCTCTGCTGAGATGGTGATGATGAAGACTGAGAGGTTCCCAGTTCCTTCAAACAGGTCAAACCAGTCAATAAAAACTGTAATACAACTAGTCCCCATTTACCAGCCCATAAACACATTTTACATAAAGACTCAACTCATAAAACCTCATCCTTCTTTTCTCATGAACACATTTTGTTCGACACATTTTTAATAAACAGTGAACACAGATACAGAATCATTCCAGCACTGCACACTCCATGGTTTTAGCTCTGATGATAAACATAAACCACCTGTGTCTGAATATTAGAAGCTACCTAACTCTGTTCGACATTCCTTCATAAAAAAATGTCTCTATCAGTCTGCAGGCCTGAAAATGTGCAACATCTGAGTTGTTCTTTACCAGCATGCATGGAGGAGGTCCAAGACAGAAGAGACTCATTGTCAACAGTGGATATTTCTACTAGCTTTATTTTAATTTTCCTAATTTCTTATTCTGTGATAGAGTTTATGTATTTTGGTTTATATTTCCAGTATTGTCTGTAACATTTACAGCATTTCAATTTTTAGCCACACTTTGAAAACATGTCTTGGAAGCAGTAAAATTTGCATCAAAGTGTTTCTGATTCTGGATCCCGTTCTTTGCAAGAAGAACCATTTGACCCAGCCTGATTAGAAAGATAAATGACATGGAAGGGATGTAACGGGCCRCAGAGTGTTGTGTTTGGGCTGGTTGGATCTGGGAGAAGGTCAGTCACTGGTTGCAAGTTGTGTTGTTTGAAGACAGTTTGCTTTTGTTTCAWATTTTAAATGTTTTGGCTCAGTTCGAGCCTTTGGCAAACAAAATGTGTCACTTTGACCATCGTGTCACTGTTGAGTCCTGTGTGTTCACTGTTTTGATAATGTGGAGTTTGAGTGGACTACTGCGTCAAAGCAACCAAGAAACTCAACAACTCTAAACTGAAGACGAGTTGCAAATGATGTGATCTAAGGCCAGTTCAGACTGCAGTTTGATGAAGGTCGTTTGTCCACAGCATACCAATGATCAAAGCAGGACCAGGACAAATACTCATGTTCTCAGTGACCACCCATATCTGGTCCTTCAGATAACAGGAACTGTACTGCTGTGATGGTCAATACCAACAGTATTTACAGTTTAGTGGAGCTGGTTTCATCTCTGTATACTGCTATACAGTTATTATTTCATTGATGTTTCAGTACTTGATGTTCTCATCATATCCATAATGACGGTGGTCGTCCTGCCCTCCTCTTCCTCTTGCTTGGCCTCCTCTTGTCACCCCCTCCAACTCAAACTCATCTTCCTCTTGCTCCGTCCATTGAACCATCCATTGTTTGGAACCTTCATCAAACTRCAGTCTGAACTGGTCTTTATAGATGTGTTCACATCGTTTGCAACAAGTGTCTTCAGTTTAGAGTTGTGTTTAATGAACCACTGGACTAGTGCAAAGTTTTCAACATTAACATTTTAATATAACATTATAGTCTTTACGGTTTTTAGAAAAAATTTTTTTAGAATGTCACCTCCCAATGYCATTTTGGACGTCCTAACCACTCATTTTACTCAGGTACTTTTCTTTGAAGATTTTAACTTGGCGGTACAGTGGCTCAGTTGGTAGAGCCGTTGCCTCTTAGTAAGAAGGTCCCCGGAACAAATCCCAGCCCAGCTTATAACTGTTAGGTTAATGCTAAATTGTCTCTATGWGTGAGAGAGTGATTGGTTGTCTCTATGTGTCCCTGTGATGGACAAGAGACCGGTCCAGAGTCTGCCCCTCCCCTCACACAGTGACTGTTGGACATGGGCACCCATGACCCTAAAAGGAAGAAGCAGATAACGATGATGGATGGACTTTACCTTTTATCAAATTTATTTTATAGTAAGATTGTACTTTTACTCAAGAGATTCTTAACCTATGGGCCACGGCCCAATTGTGGGCCGCAGCGCCACCTTGAGGGCTTCAAAAGAACAACAGGTTTTAACTTTGGGCCGCAGAGGGCCGCAAGACCACATTTATTTTGAATAAGGTGCAATACACTTTCTCACCACTAGTAGCAGTAGTGCACCACTCAGATGTTTAACAACTTTTTTCAAATGTAGAAGAAGAAATGGAAACTTATTTTAAATGAAAGTAACTCGTCAAAAAACACCAAAGTTTGTCACTAATATGAAGAGCAGCTTCTGGTTCTACCATGCAAAATTTTAAAAGTTCAAACA